GGTGAGAATCAGATATTAAGCTATTGTGTTAACTTGAATCACAAAACATGCAGTTCACCACCGAGATTTGATTTATCCAAAGGAAAGGGTAAAGATCGAAGAAAACTCTAAGTGCGCTATGTAACAACGCAGCTAAGAGATCTAAGGTTCGGGGGTTGGTTATACTTAGGGAAGGTGTTAGCATCCTAAATATTTGTAGTACTCTACAGGAACCTCTTGTTAATATTTGTGTTATGCTAAAGTTTGCTTGCTAAGGAAAATATGCTAAGGTAAAGGTCTAAAGTATATACAAAGTATGATCGCCAAGACAACGCATCTCGTGCCTATATATCCTGACGGAAATAGAATCAGAGCAACCGTAGTTCCCTTCAATAGGGGTGAGGAACTCTTGACTGTGGTCAAGGTTCCAAAGGGAAAAGTAAATGTTTACGGTGAGACACCTACATAGAGTGCGGTGACTCTAAACCTAAGGTTAGGTTAAAAGGGAAAGAAAAAGGATGTCCACGGTGGGACGATTAAATAGAGCACAACGACTCTAATCCTAAGGCTAGGATAAAGTGTAATGAGCTAAAGTTAGGCTAAGTATGACATGGCAGTCAACAAAGGATCCTTTCCTTTGGAATTTAGGTAAAAGAAAACGAGGGACAAAGAGATGAACCTCGAGTATCAAGTGTAAAAGGAATAGCAATATATACAGTAAATGCTCAAGCAAATTAAAAACTCCTAGGATATGATATCGAAATCAGAATTTAAATATAGTCAAAAGTAACAAGAATTAGATCAAACATAAAGAATTAATAAAAATATAGAAAAGTCACGATTAATTAAAATCAAATTAAACCAAAATAAAATTAACTAACTAATTCTAAAATTTGAACTAACTGAATTCTTATTATTAAAAAACTAAATAATTAAATAAGCTAGAAACTAAACCAATTAATTTCTAAAAAAAAGCTTAAATAACTAACCTAGATGAGCCCTTGAATAAACTAACTAAATCTAAAATCTAATCAGAAATAAGTAATTAAATATAAAAAAGTAATAAAATCTAAAAAAAACTAGTTACAACTAAATGATTAAATATATATAAAAAAACTAAAATTAACTAAAATGGAATAAAAACTAATTAAAGCTAATCGAATTCTAATTAAAAATATTAAACTAAGTTCTAATTAAGAACTTAATAACTTAAAATCTAGGAACTAACTAAATTAAAAGCGGGGGTGTAGGATAAAGAATTAAAGGGTGTATATAGAAAAGAAGTGGTGCCAAGAGTGAAATCATGTGGGCCGATGCAGAGTCCACTATCCACTGGCTTTCATAAAAAAACATGAAAAGCAAAAAAGGAAGCATACGGGCTTACAAAGCCCATTACTTAAACATCATTATTAGTGCATGAATTGAGTTGGGTCAAAAACCCTAAATCCGACTCAGTTGAATGCTTCAAGTAAAAAAACAATAATGAAATAATGAAACGAAACAAAATCGTGAGGCCATTAACACGAAAAAAATGCAGGGAGAAAATGAAATCTCATTCTCAAAACGAATCAACGTTTCAAATCTTCTCACTCTCTGTTTCGATTTCCTTCGCCTCAGAATCGCGAACTTCTCAATCTCTTTTATTTTCCTCTTTTTGCTTTGGATTCGCGGTGAATTTCTAATTTTCGTGGCGACACGGTGAAGAAGGGTGATTCAAATATGACGACGACGATGAGGTTTTCAAGTTAGGAAGGATTTGATTTTTTTGATTCAGTTTGGGTTGAAGAGGTTAACCGTGAAGTGTTGAAGAATAAGGAGATGAATTTTAAGTGGCAAAAAGAACGAAGGATTTCTATGTGGTTCTTAGTTATGGCAGGGTGTTGTTAATGGTGAAGATCAAGGTGAATTAAGAGGAACAAAGGGTGTTGGGTGTTCTATTTTCCTGTGTGTTGCTTGCAGGTAGTAGCTTTATTGTGGTCTTAGTGCAATTCTTGGAGTGTTGGGGGAAGAAGTGGCAAGATATATAATTTGCAGAGAGTTACCTTTGTTGTGCAATGTTTAAGCAGGTGATGCAGGGTCCTCATATTTTGATGTATTGATTTTTTCATGGATATGACAAAGTTTTCGTATATGGTCGAGATGTGTGCAGAAAAGGATGTTGTAGCATGTGGTAGAGCTTGCAGGCTGGTTCGCAGGAGAAATTGGCTGGTACGATAGCAGAGTTTGGCAAAAGTTTATTCTGGTGTAAACATGGAGCAGAGAGAGACTTTGTTGACCCTCTTTTGTAATTTTGTTGTAATAATGCAAAGGACTTAAAATGACAAAAAAAATAATTTGGGCTTTGTAATAATAATAATTATTATTAAAAAAAATAATTTGGGCTTTGTAATAATAATAATAATAATAATTATTATTATTATTATTATTATAATTATAAAAATGTAATAGTAGTAAAAATAATAATAACAATAAATAATAAAATAAATAAATAAATAAAAATAATATTAACAAAAGAAGAAATAAATTTTAAACTAGACTAAATACTTAAAAATAATAAATAAAAACAAAAATTCAAAACTAAAAACATAAAGTTCTAAGACTTTAAAATAAGATTAAATATATAGATTATGCTTGAAAACAATGAATTAAATAAATGAGATAACAAATCTAAACGAACAAAAGCAGACAAAAATCAAGATGACATTAGGTGACAAAAATTAAACTGAAAGAGAGCATGATTAATGGCTAATGAACCATACAACTGTAAATACAAAAGATGACTAACTTAAAATGATGTAAAAGATCAAAAAATCTAAGGGTAAAATTTGAAGTATGACAAAAAGTTTTGAAAATATAAATTAGGAGGTGTGTTAGAAGATGTAATTCATCATTTCATTAAGTAGTTTGTGTTCGACAAGTTATGTAACCTAGTCAAATCAACTGTAGAGTCATTTATATTTGACAAAATTAAATACAACATATAACAGTTGTATCGAAGTGTAACTTTGTATATTTTTTAGCCTGGATTTTGGTTGCCTATTAATAGGCACGTCGTTGTAATTTCAAAAAACAATTTTTATCATATAGTTTAATTTGAAATTCAATCATTAATATTTTTCAGTTTTGTCTCAATAGAGTAGTTATTCTCTCTAGATTTCTCTCTTCTTCTTCATCATCTTTTTTAAAAATCCTAACTATTCTAATAAATTGGATTATCAATTATTTGTGTTATTCAATTTGTTTATTTATTCTTCACTTCTTATCTTCTGTATTATTCTCTCACACATTTTTTCCATATTGTGTGTGAAATTTTGTTGCATCATTGTATTTCTTTATTTTCTTTATTCTCCTCCTTATTTTTCTTTTCTCCATATAATTATTCACATTTATATGTTCCTCTTTTAAAAAAAAATTGTTAGTTGTCTATTTAATTATATGCATATGAAAATAAAAAATAAAAAATAATATATATATATATATATATATATATATATATATATATATATATATATATATATATATATATATATATATATATATATATATATATATATATATATATATATATATATATATATATATATATATATATATATATATATATATATATATATATATATATATATATATATATTCCGCTTTCAAAATCACGAATTATTTGGTTTTTTCCCTAATGAGTAAAATCTAGGGTGGTAATAGTTGTTTTCTAAATGTCCTACAAGGAGAGAGGTGAGCACATAACTCTTGAGCTTGGCCCTCTTAATTAACCAAAAAAAGGAGAATGTAGGCCAACTAGTGCAAAATAAAACAGATAAAGGAGTTCATTTCTCATGATGTGTTGTTCCTCTTTTTTCATTGGCACCATCATTTTTTCACTTTTTCTCAAAACCTATTCTTGTCGGAAAAGTTATATCCAAGCAGAGTGGGAAATGAGAGTCAAATATTTTTTGTGAACATGGTATTATTACGCATGAAAATGGTGTTGAAGTGGGAAATGATCAATAATCATTGCTTGTTTTTATTTGGTTATGAATAATCATTGCTTGTTTTTATTTGGTTTTTGTCACTCTAGTCATTATGCTACCACATAATCAAATTATGTGATTCTTTGACACCAAAAGAAATATGATATGATTCATTGTATCTCATCCTGCTGTCTTTTTGTTATCAACCTTCAAGTCCTTTACTCAAAGGCTTGTTTTTGGTGCTAATTTGTAGTCATGTTATGATTTTGATGTCTTTTGAAACTTTTGTCATAAAGGGTTAATACCATGTATTTCTGTATTATTATCTTTAGTTATTTAATGATATTTTTGAAAGAAAAAAAAGGGTTTGGTGTTAGACATATAAGAATGGCGGACACGAATGCGATATTGACATATGTGATATAGGATTAAGAGTCTTACATTATATTATATAATATATGACTTAAATATATATTTGTAAATTGAGACAAACATTACCTTTTAAGTCGATTTTGTAGAATTGAATTAGACCAAAATTCTAATTCTAGTCCATCGATTCATGTTATCACCATTTATACATGTACATCAAACTCAATAGTAATAGACAAATAGGATATATTGGAAAAATAAGTTACACAAAATTTGAGTCACTTATTATTTACATCCACGCACAATAGTATTAGGCGCAAATATGAGTATTGGAAGAAATCTAAATCACGCATTGATTAAAGACAAAGCTTAAAAAAGAGTTTATATATCGCTTTTGTAGTGATAAATAATGTCAAACTCATTCTAAAATAATATCAAATTCTCGTCTAAAAATCGTTAGGTCTCTTATTATTAGATTTTTGCTATTAAACTATCAAGTCCAATAGTGATGGGTGTGAGTGGTGTTAAGAGTTTGACGTCAAAAAATAATGATGAACACAAAAAATCAGCAATGAGCATTTATAATAAACTCAAAATTTGGTCAAATTAAATCACAGTCACATCATTCATCATATGTTTATGCATATTATACATTGTGACAGAGATTAACATCTTAATAACATTTTGTCATGAAACTGAGTGACATTTTCGCCTGTGAAATGGAAACCGCGACCGAGTTTGCGAACTGGACCTTCCAGTTCCACTCTCGCGAATACTATTTATACGAAACAAAGCATTAAATTTGCTCAGTTTTTTAGCAAATGATTTGAAAAATTTCTGTGCAGGACCTGTTTTCACAAGCTCTTGTTTCATAGAAACATGATCTTTCTCCAAATCATTCAACCTCATTCTCATTCTTGTTACTTCAAGCTTCAACTCTCGATTCTCTCGTCTTACCGATGCATAGTTATCTCTTGGTGAAATTGCTCCACTTCCTATACCACTCCCTGATCTTTGAGGAAACTGGCCATGATTTCCACCAAACATGATTTGATTGTGTCCTCCGTTCATTGCGTTTCGTAGCCTTATTTGTTCATAGTAAAGAACTTGTACGCCTATTTGTACTGGTAGCCTTTCATTTTGTGCTGCATGGCTGCATGCTTCTTGAGATAGTTTCTGACAGTCGATTGTTTTGCTTAGACGGTATCGCTCTGAGTCCTTAATGTTTGAATGAACCTATAAGATAAATAAATAAACCAGCAGTTATAGTACAGTATTTTTACGAATCAAAACGATAAGGGCTGAATCTCACTGGATATCGTCATGTCTAGTATAAACAAACATATATGCAATAGAGTTCTAACCTTAAGGAAGATATCAACGGCTCGATAGAGTCCATCGCTTGTGACACGAGCATGATCGGGAAGTAGTTCTGCAAGTGCTATGAATTTCGATGGCAAAAGGTTTGAGTCTAGTGCTACCTCAGTAAGAAAATTATCCATCAATTTGGATACTTTTAGAATCGAACTTTGTTTCGGAGATCCAGGACTGTCGAAATCGTACTCATACATCATTTGATTTTCATCTCTGAAATCACTATCTTCATCATCCACTTCATCCAAGTTTAGAAAAGTAGAAAAGATCCTCAAAATTGAATCTATATCATACATTGTGTTGTGAGTACTCAAAGGCGAGTTCGTTGGAATAAGAATGTCTTCGAGAATTGCCTGATCGAGTTGTAGACCGATACGCCTCTCGAGATCACTTCTACAAGAAGTTGGCACCATTGTCGCTATCGCGGTTTTCAATAAACACGATAGAAACGCGATTGGAACTGAACTTTTCCTTGATTGAGTTGGTAGTAAGCGAACTATAGTTTCGACAATAACCTTTTGTTTCTTCTGCGATTCTACGTCGAGGGAACTAACAGTACTAGTCCCTTGAAGAGAATTATGTGCATAGTTTACCAAAATCTTGCTGATCAAGTCTTGTTTTAGTCCCTTCGACTTCATAACAGATACAACTCGTTCGAAGAACTCAAGACTAAGAACATTCATCGAGTTCCCCCACCAATCTAGAGGTGTTTCCGGTTCCATTATCGATGTTGCTTTAGAAGGAAAATTGTGATCAAGTTTCAACAAACCAGAAGTAAGTTGCTCTTTGCACGCATTATTCGCAATCGCGTTGATGAGCCTATTAACGAGATTGATTTCTTCGGATAAAGGAACAAGATTCTCGCAATGGTGAAGAACATTTATAATACTTGATGTGTTTGGAAGTACTATCTCCTTTAGATACGATTCGGCTCTCGTCACCAAATTCTTTTCTGAGAATTCTTCTGTCATTTCAAGAAAATGAGATGTGCAATGTATCATAGCAATATTTGACAGATTGAAATCAACATTGATTCCATAACAGAATTTTGCAGCTAGCTCAAATGCCTCTACACCACCTGGCACAGCCGGAAAACTTACGCGAGAAACTTTCGAATCTTTTGCATCTAATAGTAGTTTCCTAAATCTTCCACTTCTAGATACAAGAGGAAACTGAAAAACAATTTGCAAGACTTATAAGTTCTCAGTTCATAGTTATAACATATCGACAGGGCTGACTTAAGTTTTTGGAGGCACAGTTCAATCTAAACAGTCACGGTTCAATCTTGACAAAATATCTGAGAGCCCTATTTTATCATGGTTTAGCCGCATGTGACAAATCTATTATAATCACATTTTCACTGTAACAAATTTAAAGCCATGTACAGTAACACATGTTGCAGACCCTTAAAAACGGCCCTACATATCAAAATCGAAGATAGATTGTTTCATTTACCTTATGAAGTGAAAAAGTTGATGCTCCTACTTGAATAGTAAGATCACTAGAAACATCAGAAATTGGCCTGCAAAAAAATACTCATTCTGAATCACTATAGATACACATAAACATGAAAATTACCAGAGACATTGAAAGAGACTCTACTATCACAAAAATGAAACTAAATCTAAGTGATTTGTACATCACAAATCAAAAGAAAAGTTAAACTTCCAAATCAAGATCTTGGATAAGAATATTTTAAGAATATGACTATTTCAGTAGAGTGGAACCCATTCATGCAAATCATTGAAGTCACAGTAGTATGGCCTAGTTGATTTCACAGTTGTCATGTTCTATATGAAGCCAAAAAAATTGTCCATTGTCGGTGAACTCCTATTTCATCTCCAAATTCACTTTCACCAAAAGCTAAAATAATAGTTGATACATAAAAACACCAATTCAAATTCAACCTCTTAATATATGACACAAACACGACAATGACACTGAAATTTATAGTTACATTATTGTTTCTGGTATTTGTGCGTCTGTGTCTAAGGACTGCAATAACTACAAAATCGGAGTAAAACATGTTAAGAAGTAGTAGAAGAATATATAGTACCACTCAGTAGCATGTCTTATGCTTGAACTTGGACGAAAACTTTTTCTCCCAGAAACACTAGGCTTCAATTCACCAAGAGTCACAACTCCCATTTTCAAACAACTACTTCAGCCTCTTCATTCTCTGTCAATGAAAACTAGAAAGTCACATGAACCAAAGGAAAAAAATCACTTTTATAATGGACTTAAAGAAATAATCTAGTGAATGCAGGTGTGGTTGCACTTTTGAGTGAAAGGTGGTGATATGAATGTGTTGTGTGTGTGGTGTTTGAATTGAAGGAATCAAATTGTGCTTTTATGAGTTGTTATAATGAGTTATTAACTAAAGGTAGTTAAGTAAAGTTTAACATAAATAAGTAGATAAATTATGTGTAAAGTTAGTTAAAGTTGAAATTTAAATTTGAAAAGCATATGAGTTGGATTGCATTGCATGTTATAATGGACAAGTTAAGTTCAGATTGTACATGGATGAATTTAATTGGTGGTAAATTAGTATATAATATAATGTAACACGAATGTATAGTATGTGTGTATATTAAAAATAATAAGAATATTGTGATTACATATTTGTGATAAAGTTGGCATCTCAATTTCTCAATGTGACAACTGTTGGGTGAATGATGAATATAAACACATCATGATGAAAGCATCAATTTCTTTTGTTGGGTGGCTCTGAGTAGTCTGGTTAGTAATTAATATAAGCATATGTATTGTAAAATATTTAATTATATTTGAAATAATGTTGAATACGTAAGATCATGAAAGAAAAAGAAACGCTGTGCAATTTTTGTGCGTGTAGAAGTGAAATTTAGACATTAGTGAATGTGTCAATAATATGAAGGTGACAGCATCATGATGTGGGGTAAACATTTTACCAAACCATGTCCATTTAATATGGGATGTGCAATTAAGTTTGTATCAACCTAGATTGAAATAAATACTATGAATTTCTCATTGTTTCTTATTATTTATTTTTTTGGTTATTGAAGAATTAGTATTTTTAAAGTAGAAAAGGAGGGCCAAAGGCCCTAAATAGATAAACATTAGGCAACAAGTCTCACAGAAGAACTATTACAATTGATCAGTAACTGACTTAATTCTAATGGACAATCATTAATTAGATGCAGTAATCTAAATAAGACAAATCAAGTTTGGCTAGAAAATCAGCACACTTGTTAGACTTTTTATAAATGTGATTAAAATGCTCAGTCTCAAAATTCTTAGTAAGAAGAAGAATACGCCTAGCCAGAGTCAAACCTTGCCTATGAACCAGGTCCGGCCCAACAAGAGATTCTGCAACTAACTTGTTATCCACTTGAACAATAATTTTTTTGAAGTCTTTCTTCAAAACAAACTCCAAATTAGTAAGCACTCCCCAGAGTTCAGTAGAAACGCTATTGCAATTGCCCGTGGTCTTATGGAAACCACCTAGCAAGCACCCTTGGCTATCTCTTAAAAGACCCCCATAATTAGCAAACAACACGTCATTGTTAGCCCCATCATAGTTGAAACAAATTCAAACCGTAGGTGGAGGGATCCACTGCACAATAATCAGACTTTTTGCAAGGGTTGCACTCTAAGTTGAAGGCTTCTACTGACATGATAAAGAGACACACTCTTACGAATCTCATTCTCCAAGTTTTGAGGCATGACAAAATGAGGTTCATGGATTTTTTTCATTCTTTCAACCCCAAACAAGATGGCACCCGAAAGCCCACAATGCATCCCAATCAAATTCAGAGTGATACAATTGCTGAGAGACATTTAACTCTAACTAGTCAGCTAAGGTAGGGGAGAAAAAACGAGCCTTGTTGTCATGGCTGGCCAAATGGCTCCAAATTCTTTTGGGAATAATGCAATCCCGTGAGGCATGAAGAATAGATTCAAGTTGATCTTCACAGACATCACATAATTGGTTCCTCAGCTGGAGATAGTTGAGATAAACATTGGTAATGATTCCTTTGTGGAAAACTTTCCAAACAAAATTCCTAATTTCGTTCGGGGATCTGAAGCTTCCAGATGGAATCCCAATGAAAATTAGAAGTGTCTTCAGATTGTGGCTTAGATAAGCATACATACTCGACATAGAGAAAATTTGGAATCAGTCCCCCCCCCCCCCCCCATAAACAATTATCATCAATAATATCAGATAAAGAAGGAGGAGAAATGGCACGAATTTTATCCATATTGGACTGAGGAAATAACCTATGAATTAAGTTCTAGTTCCAGCAACCAGTTGGATTAATGAGGTCAGCCACATGATTAATATTATTTCTGATGTCAGCCTGCTGCAAACCAGGAGCAACTCGAGCATCCTTCCACAGTCTAATAGGTGTAATGTTGCCCATTTCCCAATAAGAAAGATTGTCTAGTTTAGGACGAACGTCAACTAATAATTTCCAAAGGTAGGAATCATAGGGTTCGACAGTCAAACTACCTGAAGCAAGTCTTCTAGAAAAATATTTGCTCTTCATAATAATGCACCAAATTGAATTACCTTTGGTTTTCAAGTTACAACCCAGCTTGGCAAGACAAGCTTTATTCATGATCCCCAGATTTCTAAGACCTAGGCCACCTTGATGCTTATCTTTACTAATGATTCTCCATTTAATCGAATGAAGGTACTTTCTCTCATATTGTCTCCCCGGATGAAGGCATGTTGACACTTTTGGATCTTCTGAATGCAGTCTTGAGGGATAGCCATTATCATCATAGTGTAAGTGGGCAAGGTTTCAATCACAACCTTAGCCAAAGTAACTCTTCCAACAAAAGATAATTGGTTGCTCTTCCAATTGGCCAATTTAGAATGAACTTTCTCAATAGGATAATAGAAATATTTGATTTTAGGACTTTTGCCTGTAAAAGGCACCCCTAAATAGGTACCAAGAGAGGAAGTCTCTTTAAAACTTAAGTTAGCAAGAATGAAATTCCTGACAGAGACAAGAGTGTTACCAGAGAACATGATATTATACTTGTCCATATTGAATTTTTGACCTGAGGAGTTACAAAACTGGGATACAGTGTCCATAACCACTTTAATTTACGATTCGAAGGCTGATCCAAAGAGGATAAGATCGTTCGTGAACATTATATGGGACACTTTAGGATCCTATTTACCAATCCTCAAACACTAACATTTGTTGGACTCCATTGCATCATGAATCAAGTGAGAGAGTTTGTCCATACAAATATTAAACAAGTAAGGAAATAGAGGGTCGCCTTGTCTTAAGCCTTTTCTGGCCTCGAAGAACTCACCTTTGTCGCCTTTCCATAATACCCTTATCTTAACTGAGGTTACAACAAGCATGATGAGATCCTTCAGATTATCAGGAACCTCAACTTCGAACAAAATATTACTAATAAAGTTCCAACTTATATTATCATCGGCCTTGGAAAGGTAGACCTTGATAGCGAAGAAACCCATTTTACTCTTTGATTTATGCATACTAAGTAGAATTTCCTGCACAATGACAATGTTTTCATGGATGCTTCTTTTGGGGATGAAGCCAGAATGATTGGGATGAAGCTGAGAAAAGTACACAAAAATGGGGGTTGAATTGTGTTTTTCATTTTCTTAATTTGTGTCTGATAAGAGTTCAGAATCTAAACTAGTGTTCAGATTCTGGTTATACTTAGCAACGAATGTTAACAAAAGAAAATAAATAATAGTAGAAGGCGCAAAGATTTATATTGGTTCCTCCCAAATGAGATAATTCTGGTCCCCTTGCTTCGCAAGAGATTTTCACTATAATCAAAACATGATTACAATCGCTTATACATTCTGCATAAGACTTTTACAACGCTCAGACCCTAAATCTGAGACCTCTTGCTTAAACCCCTAAGGCTCAAGACTTCCTTGCTCAAGTCCTACAAACTCAAGACTTCCTTAATTAGACTCGCATCCTAAGAATTTCCTGCTCAGGTCCCTAAGACCCGAGACTTCCTGCTCAAGCCTTTCAGGCCCAAGACTTCTTGCTCAGACCCACGATTCAAGACTTCCCTGCTCAGGTTCCACAAACCCAAGACTTCCTACTTAAACTCCTCAGGTTTAAAACTTTTACTCAGATCGTAGCCTAAGACTTTTTTGCTCAATCAATCCACTTGATTAAGTCTTTCACTGCTCTATCATATAGCAAGAAACTTACATTGCTCAAGCATCTTGGCGAGAGACTTCCTGCTTAAATCCCACAGATTAAAGAATTTTGCTTAATCAATCCACTTGATTAATAATTTCAATGCTCTAGCACATAGCAGGAGACTTACATGGCTCAAGCATCTTGGCGAGAGACTTGGTTGCTCAATCAATCTACTTGATTAAGACTTTAAATTCTCTAGCACATAGCAGGAGACTTACATGGCTCAAGCATCTTGGCGAGAGACTTAATATAAATTGCTAAACAACATGTTCAACAGAATAGAAAACAAGGTGTACTTGGTACAAATATCAGAGGTACAGGGAAATCACCATAACAAAGAACTAAAGCTCTTAATATTTATAAGATATTAAATGTTTAAGAAATCTTAAGGGTTTTATAATTACAACCTACAATAGAAATTTTTCATACATGATTGTGTTGATAATTGCTGATCTTGATACTCCTCCATTAGGTTGATCCTTGTTAAAGATTCAGTTTGAACCTTCAGCTACTTATATAGAATTTGCAGAAGACTAGTTGTTGGAGAGATAACTTGATCAAGTGTCTTTGCTTTCTCCATAGTACAAGAGATGTTGAAGATAAATATACCAAAAGATCTTGATCCATTGTGTAACATGTTTAACCATTGAGTCTTCAAAGAGATCTTATACTATAGAGCCATTAAGAGTTATTATCTGTAAAGCATGCCAACTTTTCTAGAGCCTTATGAACTAAGACTCTAGCTGACAAACTCATTTGATAATGCAGCCTGCTTTCTACAGTATGAATATCTTCAGCTTTATCACTAACTCTAAATGATCAACCAAGTGTAGAGATAATTATGTTGCTTCTTCTGATGCTGAGACCTTCATCTTTAGAGTCTACGCCATACATCACTTAGAGAGTGTTCTTTAAATTTTGCACCACCAGAAGCTAGAAATTCAACTTCTCTCAAGTGTGCCCTTGTATATTAGATTCTGTATATATATATATATATATATATATATATATATATATATATATATATATATATATATATATATATATATATATATATATATATATATATATATATATATATATATATATATATATATATATATATATATATATATATATATATATATATATATATATATATATATATATATATATATATATATATATATATATATATATATATATATATATATATATATATATTCAGGATAGTTATAACCTGCATACCTCAAATATAATCAATGTTCTTTTAATACTTTGTCATCATCAAAACCTAAAGAATAGATGTCATGAAAAAATATTGTTCTAACAATATCCCTCCTTTTTATGATGACAAACATAATTATTTAAAGGACAATGTTAGATAGTTATAATTTTCTTTGCAACATCAGAGTATGAGGTTTATAAGCTCCCCTTGAGTCTAATAATCCAAAGTTGAGTTCTGTAAACCAATAGGTCTAAGCTGAGTTACAAGTTGGGTTCTCAAGTTTAGGAATCAAACAAATATCAGAAAAGTTAATATCTTCTAGAGAAGCTTTCATATGCCAAAGTTGTTGAATAAAAGAGTTGGTGTTCTCACTAGTGAGGTTCCATATGTTTTGATAGAAACCCGTAGAAAAACCATTAGGCCCAGGGGACTTCCAAGCCGTCATATCAAAAAGTGCTTGCTTGATCTTAAAATCTTGTAAATCAGTCTTTAAAAGTCTGGTGACACTATTATCAAAACTAGGGAACCTATAAGAAGTGTGAAGCCAGTCAGAACTATTAAGCTTTGTAGTTAAAATATTTTTTAAATGAACTTGGAACATAGTCTTAATTTCTTCTCCATCTTCAATCCACTTGTTATCTTTGTATTTAAGCATATTAATAACTTTCCTTCTTCTACGGTGCCCAACTAGTATGATAAAATTTGGTGTTTTAGTCGCCATTCACCATCCAGTTGACCTTCGCCCTTTGATACCAAATAAGCTTCTCTTTATATAAAATCTTAGAGGGGTGGTTAATTTTAATTTTCTTTTCAAGCTTTGTGAGGCCCTCATGATCCCTTCCATTTTTAATAGTTCGTTAAATACCTTGAAGCCGACTAAAATGATGAATTTTTTCTCTCCGAATACTCCTAATATTTTGGAGATTCCACTGCAAGGTTGTGATTTTCAAGGATTCAAGATTATGCAGTAGAGGGTGGTGAATATCCCAAGAAATCTTTAACATATCCTCAAAAGTATCTTCAACCAACCAAACACATTCAAACATAAAATATTTTGGCACCTATCTAAGCTCAATATCCATGAGGGTAAGTAACATAAGATGATAATTAGAGATATCCATCCTATGCAGCGTCTTCACATGAGCTTTAGGATACATGTTTCTCCAAACTGCATTGCAGAAGAAGCAGTTTAATTTTTCATAAATCCTCATGCCACCATGAGTCACGGGGCATCTCAAAATGTAATTATAACCAGAGCCTCCCATGTCAATAAGGTCACATTTGTTAACTCAATGTCAATAAGGTCACATGTGTAAATTATGAGTTGCATTATTCATGTTTAAAGTTTTTGAGATGATAAACCTAATATTGATGTAAGTTCTATGTTTTTTGGATTAGATGCATTTTGGTAAAACAACATGTTGTTAGCAAGATGTTGAACCAGATGTTCTGCCATGACAGTCACATGTTCAGTATGATGTTGTGACATGTGACAGGACATGTTATACCAAAAAGTTAGGGCATGATTGTTTTGGTATTTTTAGTGTGATATTTGAGTGTGTTTTAATTCACGCGTTTGTGTTATCCAAGGGAGGATATTGTGGGAACTTTTATTTTGATAGATTCTGTTAGTTTTTATAAAAAGGATCCTTGAGCCTTTTTAGGAAACTTTCTATTTAGTTCCTATTTTTGTGCAGAAGATTATGTAGAATATTTGCAGCTGCTATTTTGGATATGTTGCGGTTTTTAAGTCTAAGCTCATGCTTCTCAAAGGCTATTTATAAGAAAGGCTTTTAACCTAGAAAGTGGGTGTGTGATGTATTTTTGTGTCAGAATTTTTCTAGGGTTTTTGTGTTATTCTTTGTGTTTCTCTCTTATGTCTTTTGACATCTGAGTAAAATTGTGTTAATTGTCAATTGTTCATTATTCATTGTCCACTCTAAAGCTTTTAAGCAAGAGTGTATTGTTCTTGATTAAAGATTTTAAGAAATATCAAGTATTGTCTTGGAAGTGTGCTACTTATATTATTTGTTGTTGTTGAATTGTCACTAGGATTGTGTCTGATTAGGAAGTGAGAGGGGGATCTCATATCTAGAGAGTTTTAGGTAGAAGTTGCACAAGGTAGTGATTAGGCGATGTGTTGTAAAAGGGGGAGTTTAGCTTTAAACTAATATTGTCATAATGAATTTCCTTCCTGGCTTGGTAGCCCTCAGATGTAGGTGACATTGCACCAAACTGGGTTAGCAACTACTGTGTGTTATTTAAATTGCTGCAATTTTTCTTTAAATAGTTCTTGTGTTAATTCTGCTGTTACCTGACATCATATCTGACATTTGTCCACTACGTGCCAGAACTTTAATTAGCATTAGAGCAGGCACTCTGTTCTATTTTGGGTGAGCTCCAGGGAGATACTTTCTGGTACTAGAGACATGGAACTAGGATTTGTCAACATACCGCCTATTTTAAATGGCACAAACTATGATCACTGGAAGGCGCGTATGGTGACTTTTCTAAAATCTATGGATAGAAAAACCTAGAAATTAGTTATCAAAGGTTGGGAACACCCTGTTGTAAAGGGAAAGATAGGAAGGACACAACTGAATTGAAGCCAGAAAATGACTGATCTAAGGAAGAAGATGATCTTTCTCTTGGAAACTCCAAAGCCTTAAATGCCTTATTCAATGGAGTTGATAAAAATATTTTCAGGATGATAAATACTTGTAGCGTGGCAAAAGATGCATGGGAAATCCTGAGAATCACTTATGAAGGCACATCAAAAATAAAGTTGTCAAGACTTCAACTTCTCACCACCAAATTTGAGAATCTCAGAATGAAAGATGACGAGTCCATTCATGATTTTCACATGAATATTCTTGATGTTTCCAATACATCTAATGCTTTGAGAGAGAAGATGTTAGAGGAGAAGTTGGTTAAAAAGATTCTTAGTTCATTGCCTAAGAAGTTTGACATGAAGGTCACAACAATTGGAGAAGCCTAAGACATCAGTAACATGAAATAGGAGGAGATTGTTGGGTCACTTCAAACTTTTGAATTAGATATCAATGAAAGATCTGAAAAGAAGAACATAAGCATAACTTTTATCTCCAACGTTAATGATAAAGAGGTTCAATATGACAAGGAGACTAATGAAGGAATTTCTAATAATATTATGCTTCTTGAGAGGCAATTCAATAAGGTGCTGAAGAGTATGGATAGGAGTTCATGACCAGATGCCAATAACATGTCATTCGACATCAGGAAGAACAATGATTTTTAGAGAAAAGCAAGAACAAAGAAGAAGCCCAATCAAGGAAAAGGTAGTCAGTGTCATGAATGTGAGGGTTTTTGTCACATTAGATCAGAATGTCCGACGTACCTCAAGAATTAAAAGAATGGCATGTATATTTTTGGGTCTGATGATGATTTTGAAAGTGAACATGTTATTGAAACTGCTAAGCATGTTGCAACCCTCACTGGCAGATGTGAATCTGATGAAGATTTTTGTGATCAGAATGTCTCTTATGAAGAGTTGGTTATTTCATACAGAGAGCTTTGTGTCAAAAGTGAAGATGTGTGTAAGATAGAATAAACACAAAAGATAATCATAGCTCAACTGCAGGCTGAAAAAGAAAATCTTTTATCTACTGTCTCTGGTCTTCAAGATGAGGTAATCCTATTGAATTCTAAACTTGAAAACATGACCAAATATGTGAGAATGTTGAACAATGGATCTGATGTGTTGGATGAGATTCTTCAAGTTGGGAAAGGAGGTGAAATATTTACTGGTATAGGGTTTAATTATCATTCTTTAAATAATCAAAGAAAAACCCATGTGACAAAGTTTTTTCCTGCTGAAGTAAAGCATGAGCTCACGATGTCTGATCAAATGTTGCAAAATCCTGCCAGACTTCAAAAAAACTTAGATTAAAGCCAAGTTTCAGCCTTGGAAATGTCATTATTTTGGTAAATATGGTCATATAAAGCCTTACTGTTATAGACTGTATGATTATCCAAAACGTCCAACACAACCTAGGGCTAGTCATGTGATGATTAAGAATAGAAATAAATGGAAACCCAATGGTGTTGAACTTCTAATTTGAATGTCGTTGTTAATAGCACTATTGACACATGTGCTCATATTTGTCTCTCTAAGATCTTGGTTACCAACCCTGAGTCTGATGTTATACCGGATGTAACAACATTCTTGGCCCAACCTGATTATCTTGTTAGAACCACACAAGAAAATTTTCATAGTGAGACTCCTGAAAAATCCCAAGAAAATGTGGTTGAAGATGATTTTGTTGGTAGTAAAAGAGACGACTCTGATAATAATAGTATGTTTGCTGAAGAGGAGAAATATTTGTTTAACAAAGAAGATAAAGAAAAAGTGGTGGTGTAAAGAAGGATCAGTCTAATGACATGCTCAATGTAGATGGTCTATATTACTTTTATAGTAGTGTGCTTAATATGTTTGCTTGGTAGAAGGTTGTTGCTTCTAATTTTCATCTACCTTTCTTCTGCTTTGATGAATGACTACTTTGTTTGCCAATATTATGGCTAAAAAGGGGAGTAGTAGTATTTGTGCTTCCATATATGTGTGTTTCCATTTATGTACATTTACTCTGTTTTCTTTTTATCAATTTTTGGCTAAAAAAAGGGAGTAAAATGTTGATGTGATTGTTGTTTTTGATGTTAGATCAGATGTCATGACTTTATGTCATGTTTATACTACTGCTTAGGAATGGTTATTTTTCATTGTTATTGCTTGTATGCAACTATTTTGGGGGAGCATGGTAGTCTCTCATGCTGTTGCTGCTATTGGAACCATTTAATGTGTTTGTGAGAATGCATTATTCTCTGCAGTTGGTTGTGGTGTTCAAGGGGAGTGTGCTTGGGCCTGGGCTTGCATAAGTTCATGTTCATGTGTTCTTTTTCTGTTGATTTGGGTTTTCCCCCTTCAGGGGAAGTACTGGTTATGTATGATAGGGGGAGTTGCGTACCTGTCTGATCAGTAGCTGCAAAGTTGCAATTTATACAGAGCTTGCATGTTGTCATGTAGCTTGTGTTGGTTTGTGATGTCAGACATGATGTCTTGACATTATGTTGTCAGGTGTTCTTTATTGGTGTGACAACATTGTGCTTGGGTTTCTTTGTTACTGTTTGTTTCTGCTGTGTGTACCTCTGATGTGTGTTAAGGTTGGTTTAGCCAAAATTTGCCAAAGGGGGAGATTGTAAGTTCTGTATTTTTTTGATTGGCTGCATTTTGGTAAAATAACATGTTGTTAGCAAGATGTTGAACCAGATGTTCTGCCATGACAGTCGGACATCATGTTCAGCATGATGTTGTGACATTTTCCAGGACATGTTATACCATAAAGTTAAGACATGACTCTTTTGCTATTTTTAGCGTGACATTTGAGTGTGTTTTAATTCACACGTTTGCGTTATTCAAGGGAGGATATTGTGGGAACTTTTGTTTTGACATATTCTGTTAGTTTTCATAAAAAGGATCCTTGAGCCTTTTAGGAAACTTTCTACTTAGTTCCTATTCTTGTGCAGAAGATTATGCAGAATATTTACAGCTACTATTTTAGATCTGTTGCGGTTTTTAAGCCTAAGTTTATGCTTCTCAAACACTATTTATAAGAAATGCTTTTACCTAGAAAGTGGGTGTGTGCCGTATTTTTGTGTGAGAATTTTTCTAGGATTTTTGTGTTGTTCTCTGTCTTCCTCTCTTATGTCTTTTGACATCTGAGTAGGATTGTGTTAATTGTCAATTGTTCATTGTTCATTGTCTACTCTAAAGCTTTTAAGCAAAAGTGTATTATTCTTGATTGAAGCTTTTAAGCAAGATCAAGTATTGTCTTGGAAGTGTGCTACTTTTATTATTTGTTCTTGTTGAATTGTCACTAGGATTGTGGCTGATTAAGAAGTGAGGGGGAATCTTATATCTAGAGGGTTTCTAGGTAGAAGTTACACAAGGTAGTGATTAGGCGAGAAATTGTAAATGGGGGAGTTTAGCTTTGAACTAATACTGTCATAATGAATTTCCTTCCTGGCTTGGTAGCCCCCCAGATGTAGGTGACATTGCACCGAACTGGGTTAACGACTACTGTGCGTTATTTAAATTCTTGCATTTTTTCTTTCAATTGTTCTTGTGTTAATTCTGCTGTTATGACGTCCTGACATCATATCCAACATTTGTCCACTACGTGCCAAAATTTTCAGTTGATTTGGCGATAATTGGTGAAATAAATTTCTAATTGTGTGCAATTGATATGTTTATTATTGTGTGAATCGTGAGTGATGAGTTTGTGGAGTTAAATAACTCAAGGTGTTGGAGAAAACCTTTGCCAACTTCAGTGAGGTAATTTTAGAGTTAAGTTGAGGGTTATGAGAACCCTTCCCATTTGTAGGGAAATACCTTAGTAGAGTTGTCACCCGTGAACCTTGAGTTAGCTAACATGTTTAGAGTTGTTAACATGTTTTGAAATTCACTCTAAAGTTGTCAATTACTTAAGCTATAATCATATATATTTTTTTAGAGTCCTTTTACAGTTTTAGAGTTGAAGTTGAAGGTATATGACCTTAAAGTTAAGTTTTGATGACTTTGATGTATTTTTGGAGTTGGATGAATTAAGTTAGTTAAGTTATCATTCACCTTGTGATTAGGCATGATTGAGTACTGATGAGTTGAGATTCAAATGTGACACAAACCATTATTTATTTGTATGTCTTTAGGGCGGCGAAGACTCAAATAGGAGAAATAGGCGAGTTTCAAATCTGTTCAATAGAGAGAAAACAAAAAAAAAAAATCACAGGTAGACATAAATGGTGATTGATCGTCATATTGCATGCGTAACTTGAGTTTTGTAACTTGAGTTTTGTAAGTTCGTTTGAGGTGTCTCCGATTGCTTAGAAAGCTAACACAATAATTTTTTTTTTAAAGTGGGTAAATTAGGTCTAGGAGCACTACAAGAGTAGCAGTTCCCTGGTTTTTATACCAGAGGCGTAGTCAGTTTAGCTCCTTCGTTGGTCGTCATGTTTTAGGCGTAACTTGAGTTTCATAAGTCCGTTTGGGTTGTCGTCACTTGTTTTAGAAATAGAGTTCAAAAATCTTTTAGAATGGAGAGTTTCATAATTTTATCATAATTCAATAAATTTGTGTGCTATTTTGAAGTCAGACAAAATACTTTGTCCCGTTCTAGTACCAGTTGTGAGTGCAACTTTTCAATAGATGTATTTTGTATGATGTCAAATCTAGGATATTTTAGCGTTTATGTATATTGGATGGTATTCTCTGAGTCTTAATGTGCATCTTTGCATTAGGAAGCAAAGTATTATTTTAAAAAAGGTTTCATGTGAAAAACAAGTCTATAGGTTGGCCTATACGAGTTTCAGGTTGACCTATGTAATTCATTTTTAAAGCATATTTTATGCATTGACTACATAGGTTGCCATATAACCTTTATAGGTCGGCCTATACGATTTTTAAGTCGGCAGATAGAAGAAAATTCTTTTATAGGTCGACACACATGCTGCAGAAATAAAGCCTATAGGCTCTGTCCATGTGCTGACTCTTTTAGATCAACACAAGGCTTTCATAGGTCGACCTAAAGACCTTTATAGGTCGACAATACGATGAATTTTTTCAAAATTCACCATTTTTTTCATTCTTTTGCATTCCTTTTGCTTCCAAACTTGCATACATAAAAAAACTCGATACATGCATAATTTCTAGTAAGGTTCTAGAGTAAACCTATACAAAATAGAGATTTCAAAGAATTCTCATCATCTTCAACCTCTCTTACACAAAATAAAACTACACATAATCATTTTTTGATTGGCTGAACATCTAGATTAAAGTTGATAACATCCAATTAAGGTTGAAACTACACATAATCATTAGTTAAAAGACTACTTTAGACTTTTCAAGTATTTTTGGGATGAGAAGTATAAATGTGGGGTAGCAACTAGCAAGTAGATTCTTCAAAAACTTAGTAAAGGCCCAACCCAGCCCAAACCAAATTATCTCATCTTAACAGCATTCGCAACCGCTCTCACATCCCTCCGCGTCACCTGCTTCTTTATCCAAACACACAGACACAGTCATTGCTGTGTGACTTCAACACCATGAACACTTTCGCGGCGAGCTTCACCGCCCGAACATGCAGCACACGCCGCGACGCAATTCCGTTAAAACACCGCTCCCTTCACCACTTCATCAACAGACGCCTCACGTTTCTTCCCACCAGAACCACCCTCCCATCTACAAGACTCGTCTGCATGGCGGAACCTTATCTGCTTTTGAAGCTTGAATCTGCTGAGAAAACATGGAAAGAACTATCGGTATGATGTTACACGCTAATTCTACACTAATTTCTATTATTTTATTTTCTTTAGCGAGTTTTTTGTTTCTGAAATGTAAAATGATTTCAGGTGAAGCTTGCTGATCCAGACGTTGTTTCTAATCCCAGCGAGTATCAGAAGTTAGCACAATCGGTGTCGGAGCTTGACGTGGTAATTTAACTTTTATTATTCCTTTTTATCTTTTTTTCACAATTACATTGATTTAGGCTGAATTTAGATTATCTTATAACTTAGGAAATTATAGGTTTTAAATAATGGTTGCCGTCGCAACTGCCATGCGTTGTGGTCGCAGGCTTTCGCAATTTCCATCGGTACAGTTCTTGTGATAGTGATTGCGGTCGTCACCGTGAATTAATCACAATTTGTTCTGGTGAATAACAATATCGGTACCTTCTTATACCGTTTTGTTGCGGCCGTTTTTGCGATAATAAAAAGATTATCAACTAAAATAGATTTATGCTTGCAGAAGTGTTGTTAAATTATGGCTATAGTGGCGCTATACTGCATAGGATAACTGAGTTTAAACAAATTGCAAATGTTTGGTGATATACTACTTGGTAAAAAATGTTGTCAAATTGCGACCATAGTTGTGCTATAGCACCGTTGCATATAGACTTTGAACAAACAGCTCTTTTCTGCGGGGCATTGATAATATTGAGAAGTTAAATGAGAGAGGTTATAAAAAAAATAGTTGTTATTACTAGTACAACCTTTTTTTTTATATGTATTTTTTCCTTACTAAATATTGAGAAATTTGTCCAAATTGTCTTCTAATAATGTCACCGATGTGATATTGTGATTTTAGGTTGTGTCCTTGTATAATAAGTTTAAAGACTGTGAGAAGATGCTTGAAGACACCAAAGGTTTGCTCAAGGCCTATCATTTGTCAATCCTTTTTCCAGAAGGATGATTCATGTTATTGTTTATTTATCATTCATTTTGTTTTCAACTTCTTCTCAAACAACACGATAGCCTTAACAAAGGATGACGGCAATGATGAGGATATGGCGGAAATGATATCTTACGAAGTTGAATCTTTGTCCAAGCAACTCTCAGAGCTAGAGGACAAGCTGAAGGTTTGTTTTTATTCATGTCATTGTTTTATGAATTGGGAATGCAAGTTACATTTTTTTGTCTGTCATTACTTGTGACTTGTGTTTAATCATAATTTATGAAGACTAAGTCTGAGCATTCAATAAATCTTTTTCTTGATATGTTTTGCCATCAGGAATATGCTAATTTCACTCGAAAGTTTGTATATTGTTTGCATAGTATAGATCAATGTCAATTAAGCCACCCTCGACCCCAAATGTGAAACATCAGCTGAAATGTCAAAACCATGCAGAGGAATTTTGATACTTTTTCAACGTTGTTATCATATGTACTCATTTTTTCTCTGCCCATCACAAGCAGAAATTTCCTATCTTTTGACTTTCTTATGACCACACCCTCCTCTATCTTTAGCTATCTTGAGTTTTCAATCACCTGTCTCATTCTCTATATTTTCTTTTCTTTTCCATTTCTCTCAGATTTTAGAAACTTACTAATTGCATGTTATATGTTGGCAGGTTTTACTGCTTCCCAGTGATCCTCTGGATGCAAGAAACATAATGCTTGAAGGTAGATTACGTTCTTCTTTTCAATGCATTGTCGCAACTAAATGATTTATTTTTACTTGGCTTAGTTTAATATGGTATCACCAAGACTTATGCTAGAGAACATAAGGCTGATTTTTAAACACTAGTGCCACTGTTTTATAGTTTTACTGTGAGTAGTGGATACTCACCAATTTGACTAGTACACCACAAGGTATAGAAATTGATAAACAAAGAAGGAGAAGAGAGAGAAAGATTCATTATGTTATTTCTATTTTGCATTGAATGAAAGTTGGTTACAACAATTCACTCTAGTGAATTTATAGTGCACCATAGAATAACTAATTGTGCTGACTCAACATCGTAACACTTAGAGAAACTAGCTTTACAAATACACATGTCTATCTTAAGGCACTAGCATCCTTACACTCTATTATCTGTCCCTCAAATGCACAATCATCTCTTGGGAGACAGAGATGACTTGCTATGACCTGAAGCCTATCCCTGAGATACAGAAACCTAAGAGGTGACCGAGGTTTTTTAAGTAATAGAGTAATAGAGTGTAAGGATGTAAGTAAGGCTTGTGTATTGCAAAAGATTAGGTTCCCTTAAGAGTGTAACTTACTGGTGCTAAGTCAGCACAATTAGTTACTCTAGGTCTCTCTATTTAAACTCATTAGAGTGAGTTGTTGTAACTAACATTCAGTTGAATGAAAAACAAAAATAACAAAATGAATTAGTTTCTCTTTTCTCTTTCTCTGTTTATTTTTTCCTAATATGATATCAAGAGCTTCTTAGATCCACAACAATGTCAGAAACCAATTCCACACAAACGCCAATGCCAACGCAACCGGTATTAGAAGCCAGCACGAAGAACATCTTCAAGATGTTCGCACAACAGGCCACGATCAAATTGGATGAAGATAATTTTCGCTCGTGGAAGCTGCAAGTCGAAGGAATTATTCAACTTTAGATGGGATGAGATTCACAAATATATGTTTGCGCACACCAATGCGAAATCCAACAGCTCAGCTCAGAACTGGAAAGCATCACAAAAGGTGACAAATCTATCCCTGAATATATTGCTAGGGTTAAGCGTATTGTTGATATATTAGGTTCGATTGATGATCTGGTATCTCACTCTGACCAATTGAAAGCGATTTTAGATGATTTGCCTGATGAATATTAGACTCTTGCATCTATTACTTAATATTGTGCTGAGCTTTGTCCTATTATTGAAGCAGAATCCATGTTACTCTTACATGAATCTAAACTTGATAGAACAAAGAAAGCTGAGCTTATTTAACATGTATTTATTAACCTTGCTCAAGGCAATATTACTCAACCCGATACTGTGCCTACTCTGAATCGTATGCCTAACTATGTTTTAAATCAGTGGAATGAGAATCAATTTATTGGTGGTTCTCAATTTAGTGGAGGAAATAGAACTTTTCGTGGTGGTCGCCACATGAATCGTGGCAGAGGTGCTCGTTTTGCTGGCCGTTTCAAAGTTTAATGCCATATTTGCTTTAAGTCGGAGTATGATGTAAGCATCTGTTACCATATGTGCTCCTCTATGATGCTTATGATGAATCCTTCATGGAATGCCTTACAACCTTGGCAGGACCTTCAGTCTCTAAACTGGTATGGAGCTCAGTCCCAAAAATGGAATCAGTGGACAAACAAACAATCCTAATCTGTGGAGTTCTCACTCTAATCAATGGCAACCAGCTAATCTATGGACTGCTGGAACTAATAAATGGCTTGCAACCTAGAGGATCCTCCAACTTTACTTCAAGACCTAATTTTCCCTCATCTCAAGGACAACTTCAAGCCTATCTCACTAGTGATGATATGAGCAATTTACCAACTCAACATTGGTACAGATTCTGGTGCAACACACCATGTGACCAACAACTCAGACTTCATTCTTGGCGGTGCTGATTTACCAAGATTTGATTGTGTCCTTCAACTACAGCGATAAAGTGTGAAGGTGAGAAGAACATCTGATTTTAATTTCATAGGAAAAACTCATGTATATTTGGTACAAGCATCAACACAAGTCAATAAATACTTATATCCAGAAGTAGACAACATGGGAATTGGTCCCCACACACGAGCAAACAACAAATCCGAAAGAGCTTGATATACAGAATTAGAAATCTGACTAGGTAGTCTGTGAATTTTTCCTAGGCAACAAGGAGTACACAGCTCAAAGCTGGGCCTATGTGGTACATGAATAGTACATAGAGAAAGAGTGGTCTCCAGGGCCTCATGGTCCTATGTGGTACATGAATAGTACATAGAGAAAGAGTGGTCTCCAGGGCCTCATGGTGAGGATGCCCAAGCCTGTTATGTCAAATGTTGTACAAGTGAAGCCTTCACCATTATTATAAGCAGCTGAATTGCAAGAAAGAGAATGATGGATGGGACCAAAGAAACTAGAGTTGGTTGCAAAGGACCAAATGTATAAAGGCCATCCTTGCCAAGAAAGCCTTGTAATAGCACTTAGACTGATCTTGAGATTTAACCAGACATTTATCAGCATGGAATTCAAGGAAAACATTGTTATCCTTTGCAAACTTGCTGACTGAGATAAGATTTTAATTATGTCAGGCTCAAGCAGTAAATTATTGAGTGCTAGGAGTGTGTGATCATTTGTGAGTTGAGGAAAAATGTGTTGAATCTATGGAAGTAATTGACAAACCTTGTAGGTCAGAACCAGGTAGGTCAACACCACCAAGAAGAAAATCTAAGTTGTTAGTCACATGCTGTGTTGCACCAGAATCAGGATACCATTGCTGAGTGGATGAGTTGGCTATTGTGTCACTAGTGAGATAGGCTTGAGGTTGTCCTTGAGAGAAGTCAGGGTAGGTCATGGAGCACAGTTGGGAGGACCTATAGTTTAAGCATGCCATTGTTGAGCTCCAATGATTTGTACCAGGCAACCATTGATTTAGAGTTAGAGACCCATTGATTAAGACTATTTGTCTACTAGTTCCAGTTTTGAGACTGAGTTTTCTGCCATGGTTGAGAGACATTCCGGGAGAATACACCATAGTCATCATAGACGAGTGCTTGCAGTAACAGATACTTGCATCATGCCCTGGCTTAAAGCAAATCTGACAATGAACTCTGAAATGACGAGCAAAAAGACCACCTCTGCCACAAATTAATTCATGTGGCGACTACTGCGGAAAAACTCTATTTCCTCCATTGAATTGAGGACTAATTGAGGACCACCAGTAAACTGAGTCTCATTCCACTGATTTGGAACAGAGTTGGACACATGATTCAGAGTAGAAACATTTTGAGGTGTAGTGGCATTGCCTTGAGCAAGATTGACAGAAACAGGTTTGCTTATAACACTTTTTGTTAAGAGTCTCACATTGGACAATCTATGACTTAAACATATGTTTATAAATGGGGGATCCTCACCTTACACGCCGGTTTTGTAGGGTGAGTTAGGTCCAACACACATTCTAAGATGGTATCAGAGCCTCGTTTAAGATCCATTGGACCACCCACCATTTAGTTCCATGCCGCAGGCGCAAATCCTGAGCATGAGAAGGGGTGTTAAGAGTCTCACATCGGACAATCTATGGCCTGAACATGTGTTTATAAATGGGGGTAATCCTCACCTTACAAGCTGATTTTGTAGGATGAGTTAGGCCTAACCCACACATTCTAAGACTTTTCACGACCCAGTCTAGCTTAAACTCATGTTAGAGCAACATGGATTCTCCTTCAATAATAGGACAAAGAACAACAATATTAAATAATATTAAATAAAAGATGCAAGAGCATTGCATTCATCATGCAAACCATCTAAAATCGCTTCGAATTGATCACGATGGGATACAGGATCATCAATTGAACCTAATATATCAACAATACGCTGAATTCTAGCGAGATATTCAGATAGATTTTTCACCTTTTGAGATGCTTTTCAATGTCTGAACTTCACATTAGTGTGTGCAAACTTGTGTTTGTGAATTTCATCCCTAATTTGATGAGACTGAACTTATTGAACAACCCTTGGTAGAACAGAGTCCGATAGAGTAGCATACTGCTTCCACGAGTGAAAATTATCTTCATCCAATTTGATCGTGACTTGCTATGCGAACGTCTTGAAAATGTTCTTTGTATCGGCATCGAGTGCAGTCTGCGTTTGTGTGGAATTGGTTTCTGACAATGTTGAGGATCGGCATCGAGTGCAGTTTGCGTTTGCGTGGAATTGGTTTCTGACATTGTTGAGGATCGAAGAAGCTCTTATACCATATTAGAAATTGATAAACAAAGAAGGAGAAGAGAGAGAAAGACTCATTCTGTTATTTCTGTTTTGCATTGAATGAAAATTGGTTACAACAACTCACTCTAGTGAGTTTATATAGTGCATCATAGAGTAACTATCTGTACTGACTCAGCATTAGTTAGTTACACACTTAGGGAAACTAGCTTTACAAATACAGATGCCTATCTTAAGGCACTAGCATCCTTACACTCTATTAAGGAGTGGTATGATTTATGGATCGGCCGCTTCTCCTTGCCTCGTACATCTCATTGTAGTTACATTCTGAAATTTATGGATATCTGAGCTTAGCAAATCAATACTATTATCATATAGTTATTTTTATTTCCATTTCTGTTATTAAATTTTACAACTTATGGAGTATTTTTATCACCATTTGCTTTGCAGTAAGAGCAGGTACTGGTGGTGACGAGGCTGGAATATGGGCTGGTGATCTTGTAGGTACATGCTTTTATTTGTCCTTTCTAACCCATGAGTATGTATGAAGAACAATGGCACACTGCACATGCACAAACAAATTCTGTTATTGTACCATATCTGAATCATTTGACTGTCTCCGTCATATATTTTCTGTCTTTCCATTCTAGCCATTTTGATTGTCCTTGTTTAAATGTTTTAATCAATGAGACATATGTTAAATTATAATCATATTCTTATGCTGTTTTGATGTCGAACCAGGTCCGAATGTATGAAAAATTTAGTGAACGGAATTCTTGGAAGCATTCTGCCATTTCATGCTCTGAGGTATTCCTTATGAAAACTCCAATTTTTAATGGCTTTTGTAACTTGTATAATTTGTATTTTTGCCATCTTTTAGGCAGAAAAAGGGGGGTACAAAACTTATGTGATGGAGATAAAAGGAAATCGTGTCTATAGTAAATTAAAATACGAATCTGGTGTCCACCGAGTTCAACGTGTTCCTCTAACAGAGACACAGGGCCGCATACATACTTCTACTGCAACAGTTGCCATCATGCCAGAGGTAGAGTTCATGTTTCAGGCTTTAGCAATGCATTATTCATGACTCTGACGTATAGGTCTGAAAGCATTTTGAAAGTCTTACTGCCTTAGCATTTGTGAAATTGTTAATTTGATATTTTATTCCTAAAGTTTCTGTTTTTGCATAAATATCTATCAAAGTCAGAAAAATAGCTAGCTTAGGTCTAAGTTTTTTGGAGTGGGTATAAATGTAAGGTCGTGTCAATATGGTGTCTAGTCTCGTGGAATGCCTATTTCAATTTGCGATTAAAGATCATGTTTTGTTTAAATGTTTCTTTCTTAAATTCGTATGTTCTATAATGAGCACAGCATTTAGCTTACTAATACATGAGTCGTTGCCTCCCTTCCTCCTTTCAAGATTTTAGAGCACATCTAAATCTATAAATTTGAAATCTTTATTTAGGTTGATGAAGTTGAAATTGTAATTGACCCAAAAGATATTGAACTGACAACGGCACGTTCTGGGGGTGCAGGAGGTATGTATAGAATATGAACATGTAACTATATCAATCAAGTAATCAATCTTAAAATTTTCCAAAGCAAGATACAAATTCCTTTCCTCTAGGATTTCTGATACCATCATATCTTGCAGGCCAGAATGTTAATAAGGTTGAAACAGCAATTGATCTTGTTCATAAACCAACGGGAATCCGCATCTTTTGTACTGAACAAAGGACTCAGAATCAGAACAAGAAACTTGCTCTTCAGTTACTGCGAGCCAAACTGTAAGCATCAACATTGCCATTGCCATATAGGTTTTTCAACATCTTTTTTTTCCTTCACTTTTTTCTCTTAAAGACATGCTCACAAGATGAATATGGCTATAGTTTCTTGAGTTTCATTATACATGAGGAACTGAAAGACATAAATATCACAAAACAAAAAGCTGACCAAACGTCATGAGCTCATTAGTACTTTTTCCCCGAGTATTTTCTTGATCTGTCTTAATCCGTTGCATTTAGATTTGATATACGATAGTTTTACAGATATGAGATAAAATCAAGGGAGCAGCAAGAGTCAATACGAAATCAAAGAAAATCACAGGTATGATCTGTCTTGTGTATTTTGCTAGAGTACACTCGATTCGATTGCTTGCTGATGCCTTGAAGATTTAGGTCCTTTGGGTTATATGTGAATGTTTACAACTGTACGTTTATGTCATCCTGAAAAGAACAACCTAGGATCAACCACTCTGTTAAGAGACTTTGCAATTGTAGAATTGTTGGCACGGTCACATAATTGCCTTAGATTTTATATGCAGAATGCATTGGCATCATGTTGAAGAAATATATATGTATCGTTTTACTTTCTTCGCTAACCTCAAACTTTTTTCAACTCCAAACCCAGAAGAACTGCATCAACAACATAGTAATAGGAACCCTGCTTCTATGACCTTCGGTAACACATTGCTGTCCTCTCCCCTAGTTCAATATCCAATTTTTTATTTGGATGTACTTGATCAAAGATTTCATGAGTTGTCCATCATGATTTGCATCAGTCATAGTTTATCTGGTGAGCTGGCTATACAGGTTAATAGATAGATATCAAACTATTTACAGCACTTCCTATTTACAGGTTGGTACAGGAGCGCGTTCAGAAAAAATTCGGACATACAATTTTAAGGTACTTAGTGTTGCAGTCCATATTTTTTCTGGGTGTGGTTGTTGCACAATCTCGCTTGTTAGTTTCTCCATTCCTGATCCAAAATGTAAAGAGTGTCAAAACTTCATAATCATATTCATAACAAATAACAAATTTTACCATTATAAATTATAATGTGTGAAATGCCATTGATGTTCTTAGATACAAAAGAAACATACACGTTAAATTGTTTTTTGAATCTCTGAAAACCACATGCATCAGTGAAGTGAATAAGATCCAGTATTGTGTTATTTGTTCCCGTCATACTGGCCGAGGTAGCATAACTGAGATTTATTGAAGTTCCCTTTTTTCTCGATGAAAAATTATGGTTTTACTGACAAATTTTGACACTTATAGGAGAACAGGGTTACTGACCACAGATTGAAGAGGAACTTTGAGCTCACCTCTTTTCTAGGTGGTGACATAGAGGATGCTGTTCAGGTATATTCTCTAGAACACCTCCCCCAGCAAGAAATTGCTCTTCTTTCCCATTAACCAGTGTTGGACTGCATGCGGTATATGCTTAGAAACTGGTATGTATTAATATAGGTGCAACTAAGCTGGGCACTTTTTGTGGTGGTTTATTTAGGCTTTGTTTGGGAGTTAGGAGAGAAAGGAAGGAGAGGGCTTTGTAATAGATGAAGCGAGAGGGAAAGTAGTTTGCATTCTCTGTTCTGTACTTTATTTTTCTCAAAATGAAAGTTAGTTACAATATTGAACTGGGTAGTTGTTTATGCCCAGACTAGGACTGTTCTGACTCAGCACAGTTAGTTACAAAGTAAGGCCTTGTTTGGCTCAGCAGTTTTCTACTTGGATAGTTAGTTACAAGGTTAATGAATATACTACAAGTACTGACTTTGCCATTAATATATATAGGTTCATATGAATGAATGAATGAAAGTGATCTATCATGGCTCTGCAATATTGATTTTCTATTTTTTTCTGCAGTCTTGTGTTTCACTTGAGCAAAAGGAGCTTATGGAAGAACTTGTTGAGACTATGGGTGCTTCTACTAAGTGAAGCGCAGTCGATTTTGCCTGTGTATATTGGCGCTCCTGATAGAAAAACTCTTGTGATAATTACCCATTAGGGAAAGATCTGCCAAAATATATTTTTGTTGCAAATATGTCCCATCAATGAAAGTTTAACGCATACCGAGTTGATTGATAGTCAATGAGTAGATAGGGGCTAGTTTTACGTGTAACACTTGGATAATACTCTGTTGGTAAAAATCTGTTTCATGTAAAGTGCTGTAATTAACTTGCATTTTGTGCTTAGAGCATTGTAATGATATCGTGTTGTATTTGATCTGCGGGTTTGATTCTTCGTCCTTCCTCTTGGGTTTTCATTGCTTTGGACCAACTTAATGACTCAGAATCTAAACAGAATGGAAGGCCAATGATCGATACCCTGACCAACCGTCTCAGGTGATGACAAAGTGAGACGAGTGGGAGGCAAAACTTTTAACTAAATTCTTTTCATATGATAGATTTATGGAAGGAAAAAAAAACCATTATTAATGTTTTTTCTCATCTTATTAAAAAAAAAGTTTTTTTCTCATTGGCACAACTTCATGTGAAGCATGCAAAACTAGTCTACTCTATGTTGAGTAGGTATCAAAATCTTGGTTTTGATGAGTTGACGCCAAAATAATATATCTTGCAGTGAGCTTTAGCAAATAAAATATCTTATTATATGTTAGTACTTTAGGGAGTTCATAGATGCCTAAAAATGCAGCCAATGTTATCACGGTCATTGTAATAATGGCTGCAAGTGATCACTAGGGGCAATAAAGTAGGAATCATTGAACTAGGTACAAATAATGAAGCTTTGACTCAAACAATTGAAGTGATCAAACTTTACATACTTGAGAAACAATCTTTACATACTTATCAACAAACTTCTCAGTGAGACAAAGAACAAAGCTAGAGGATACGATGAATTAGTTCATGCAGGTATCACTTCTAATCAGAAAAATAACCACGTCTCAATAAAAGTAATCTAGAGGTACATATGGAGAGGCTACAACCTTGGTAGAGAAGAAATGACATTTTCGCCAAGCACCATATTATTGGGGTTGATATATATTTTTTATGGTGAAATATGATTGTTGGTGAAGACAATAAAAATTTATCTATTATTTTCAATTAAGGTGGAGATTATAGGAGTTGATTAAAAATGTATATGTTGAAGAAGTCTCGTAACGCTTAGTTTTTTTAAATGAAAAGAGAGTCTAAGACTATATATATGATACAAGTTATTTGAAGTCTCATATCAATTAGTTTTGTGAAGGAAGTGGAAGTCCAATGCTATATATAAGATTCAAGTTCTTTATTCCAAAATGTACCCGTCACATAGTGTTATTCTCTGGTTGTTTATTGACAACAACTGTGATATTTTCTCTGATTTTAGAGTTTCCACGTTATGTCCTTGTGTTGTGATTGTGTTTTTCTTTTTTTCTATGCTCTTTTTGTTTTTTTTTTCAAAAATTCGTACTAAAGTTTTTTGTTTGATCTAGGGATAAGTGTTTTTAGTATGCACCGTGGTTGCAGTTTTGTCTGATCTTTCACATCAGAAAAGAAGGATAGTATTGTGAAAGAGTTGTTGAGAAAAATTCCGCTGTGCAGTTTGAGCTAGAGAAGATTGATGGGAGATTTTCTTTTACTTGTGAAAAGTTCAAGTCAAAGATGTGTTGATACATTCAAGATTACACAAGTTGCAAGAATATGTCGTTGGTTGAAGAGCTTTCTGTCAAGAAGGAAGTTGCACCATAATGTTTCAACCTGGTTTTCGACATGTGAAAATTCTTGAAGTGGTTTATCTTCAAGTGAAGTATACTTTTCTTTAGGTGAAATATGATAGTTTTTTTTTAAAACTATGATTGTCGGTGAAGACAATGTGAAATTCTTGGAGTGATTTCTATTCAAATAAAATATATGATTGTCGGTGATGATAATGTGAAATTCCTTAATTGGTTTATCTTTAAATGAAATATATTCTTCATGAGAGAGTATGATAGTTTTTAAAATTATGATTGTCGGTGAAGACAACGTGAAATTCTTGTAGTGGTTTAACTTCAAGTGAAATTTATTCTCCATGATAAAATATATGATTGTCGGTGATGACAATGTGAAATTGTTGAAGTGGTTTATTTTTAAGTGAAATATATTCTTCGTGATAGAGTAGGATAGTTTTTAAAACTATGATTGTCGGTGAAAATTCTTGGAGTGGTATAGCTTCAAGTGATTATACTTTTTATGGTGGAGTATCATTGTCGGTGAAGACAATGAAAGTTTATGTATTATTTTCAATCAAGGTGGAGATTGTTGGAATTAGTTAAAAATATACATGTTGATACTCTTTATGGTGGAGTATGATTGTCGGTGAAGACAATATGTATTGTTTTCAATCAAAGTGGAGATTGTTGGGGTTGGTTGAAAATATATATGTTGAAGAAGTTTCACATCCCTTAATTTTGTGAATGAAGAAAACTCAATGCTATATATAGGATACAAGTTATTTGAAGTCTCACGTCGCTTAGTTTTGTGAAGGAAATGAGAGTCCAATGCTATAAATACGATTTAAGCTATTCATTCTAAGATGCACTGGTCAAAAACACTTTAAGTTTGTATTTAACTTTCTTTGTTCTCTTATATTCTTAAAATGTGTATTGAGAGTCTGTGTTAGTTAAGTGTTAGTTGAGGGTGTGGGTGTATTGAGATGTAGTTAAATATTTATTTTAGAGGGTGTGAGTGTATTGAGAGTCTGTGTTAGTTGAGGATATATTATGTATTGTAACAATTTTTACATAGTGTTATTCTCTGGTTATCTATTGACAACTACCATGATTTTTTTTTCTGATTTTAGAATTTTCACATTATATTTTTGTGTTGTAATTATGTTCCTCTTTTTTCGTATACTGTGTGTTTCTTTTTTTTGATCTTAGGCATGGAATTTGTCAAGAAAGCACGAATAAAACTAGATGCACACAAGAAAAATCATCAAATCATAAAAGGACACATTCAAGAAAAAAATATTTGCGATGGTTTATTTTGGATGTTGCGGCGGTTCTAATAGTCGCTAACTCTTACTTGCGACGGTTTGCCATAAAATCATTTTCATTCATTTTCAGTCTATTTCTTGCTAATAACCACCTTTCACAAGATGCAACTTTAAATGGGAAAATAAATACAAGGATTAAAGTTTTAATACTTTTATATTTTAGATTAGTTTTGAGAAAAAGTGATCAATGAAGTGATCCCAACTTCAACTAAGATTTTTTAGAGATTATAAATTTTACATAAAAAATACAGTGTTTACAATATAACTCTCAAAAAATAGGAGGATGGATCTTATAAATAATGATATGTTAACGAGTATTATAATTAAATAATTAAAAATTGCATATTATATATATATATATATATATATATATATATATATATATATATATATATATATATATATATATATATATATATATATATATATATATATATATATATATATATATATATATAAATTTAAAATAAAAAGTGTAGTATTTACAAGATAACTCTCAAAAGTAGCAGGGTCGACCTTTTAAATAATGATATCATCTCAAAAGTAGCAGGGTCGACCTTTTAAATAATGATATCAGATTGTGCAGACTGATAATCCTTATATTAAGAATTTTTCTATAAATCTAAGATTATAAGAGTAGAAAAATGCAAAACATTAAACTTTATCAAGTCAAATTTCTACGGAATGTTTCTATATTATTTTTGTCACTCTATTTAATTTAATTTACAATTAAATAAAATATTTTTTTAATTGTGTTTTCATCTATCAAGGACCTGATTTTAAAATAGAACGGGACCTCTAAAATGTTTGGGACGACCCTGAAAATAGGATATGAAAATTTTTCAATACAAATAAAAGACTTTGTTCCTTCGATTAGAGGGAAATATACTAAAAAACAAGAGGCTTTGTTCTTTTGGTTCGAAGAAATTGCGCGAGATGAAATGAGATTTCATTCCTTCATTAGACTAAAGCATTTTGCCATCAAATTGAATGCCAACACTTACTTTTTCAAAACTAATTTCTACATATGAAATACCTATTAGGGAAAATAATTATTATCATATATACTTATTGTTCTGGGCCGCCTACAAGACCCAGAGGAAGGAGCTCAATGACGAAGCAATGAAACCTTAAGTGTAGAACATGTAGACTTTTTTCTCTCACAGAGAAAGCGATCCCCTGCGCAATGTGAAGGTTAACTGTGTACTGGGATAAAATTTCCATGCCTAAGACAAGGTAATTCAAAGGGAAGTTATGCAAATCAAACATATTGGTGCTAGGCTAGCACAAGGGTAGTGCCACATGTGTAACCTTGTTTTGCAGGTGATATGCTTTTAACAAGGACGTCGACTTGTTATGATAAAAACTAATTTCTTGTGATAAGTCAAGCATGAAAGATTAAGTAGATAAAGATGTAAATCTTATCATTAGGGTTTGATAGACTTGACTATCCAGTGATGGAAATAAAATGGAATGTAATCTAAAGTCTCGTCTCAAGCTACTGAAGCAAGTGTACAGAAAAAGAGAAAGCATCTGGAAAGCATTGAAGTAATTAGGATCTTCTTAATTTAGTAGTGACTGGGCCTATTGTAAAGAATAATGAATCTATTGTAAAAGTGCATGGCTAAAAGCGCACACACACACTAAAATGTTTTTTCCAAAGAAAATATATTAAAAAATATCTTGAATTTGTGCCAGATGAATTAGGAACCGTCAAAATAGATATAGGCGAAATTTTGACTTATCTAATCTATTAGGACATTTATCTAATCAATTAGCTCAGTTCAAACTTGAGTCACGAGAGATTGAGACAACGCCTTAATGATGTGCAACAACTAGATATATTTTTCTTCCTTTTATAAACTTACAATCAATTGTATTTCAAATTTATAATTCATTGTGAATATGTGTCAATTAACTAGAAGGTCATACAAAACTTGTATTCGATTTTCTTTTTT